GTACACACTGCATCGCTTTCCCCAAGATTTTGTCCCGTGATGTCCCTATACGAATGGTGTCGGCTATTACTGGTAGTCTTCTCATATTATCAGCCAGGATGCGTTGGATATCTGATTCGTAACTGACAACTACAATCACACAATCATCATTCTCCTTTAGGTGTGAATTGATAAGACGAACCAGGGCATCCGCTTGACCGATTAGTTGCGTCGGTTTATACTGTATACTGAATTCGTAGGCCAGTAGTATGGTCGCCCATCCTTACAAGCGGTTTGCCGTAAAAACTGGGATTTCTTTCTTTGACCCGAATATCGACAGAAGTGGCTTGTGGTCAGTCAGGAGCGTGAAATGTCTGGCATACAGTCTCTTATGGAACCGTTTCATTCCGAAAACAATCGCGAGCGCTTCCTTCTCTAGCTGATTATAGTTCTTTTCAGCTGACGTTAGTGACCGTGCTGCGTGCGCAATAGCCTTCTCTCCTCCAAGCGGAAAAAGTGGGAAATAACTGCACCGACAATATAATGGGAAGCATCCGTAGCAACGAAAATTTTGAAATTCGGATTGAAGTGAGTCAAGAATAGATCAGAAGTGAGAGCTGCTTTGACTGCCTCAAAAGACTGCTAGCACTCCTTCGTCCATTTCCAACCCTTGTCTTTATCAGTAGCTGGTTCAGCGGACCTCTGGTTTGGTGAAGGCTTGGTAGGAAAGCGCTGTAATGGCTAACGAGCCCAAGAAACGAGCGGAGCTCTGCAACGTCTTCTGCGGGCTTCGTCTTTTTTATGGCTTCAATATTGGTGGGATTCGGACGCCGGTCATGTTTGTCGATGATAAACCCTAGAAATTTGACACTTTCTAATAAGAAGTCACATTTTTCAACCCGAAATCTGAATGCAACTTCTTTGAGACGTGAAAGCACTCTCTACAGTGTTTGTATCAAGTCTTGCGGATCTGAGCCCATAATCAACGCATTGTCCAGGTATACTGCTGTATTTAGGATATCGCTCAGCAGGGTATCCATTATCTGTTGATAAATGGCCGGTGCGGTTTTCACTCCGAACCACAGCCGATTGTACTGAAATAGTCCGAGGTGTGTATTTACTGTCAGCATTGTTCTGCACTGATGGGCAACTGGGATTTGCAGATACGCATCAGCTAGGTCAAGTTTTGCGAAACATTTCCACCCATTGAGTTTGCTGAACAAGTCTTCTGGTACCGGCAGGGGATACTGATGACCTTCCAAAACAGAATTCAAATCTGTCGAGAAATCAACACAAATACGGACTTTGCCGTTTCCTTTCTTTACCACCACGATAGGGGCTGCCCATTCTGAGTAGTAAATTCGTTCGATTATCCCTTCAACTTGTAATCGGTTTAGCTCGGCTTCCACTAAGGACTGGGTTGCGTAGGGCACCGGGCGTCTTGGTCTAAAGTCTGGCTTGTGGTCTGGTTTATGGTTCAACGCGACAGTAGCTAGGTTGCAGCATCCAAGACCAGGTTGGAACAATGCATCGTGACGTCGTTTTATCTTAGTAATTTGACTTTGAAACATCGGGCTTGAAGGTGACGGCTGCGACTGCAGATTGACTTGCGGTGGCTGACATATACTGTTCATTGATTAATCAAACAGTTTCAGTTCATCCATCCAGTAGAGCCACAACAAATCTAACTCCGGCCGATCTATCACGAAACATGTCGTCTGCATTTGTTTATCGCGGAAGTTTACCTGACAATTCAGTTCACCAAGCAATTTCAACGTACCTTCTGAAGCATTCCGTGTCGTGTGGTCAGTTTGTATGAGTGTAAGTCGCCCCAGCATGCACCAAGTGTCGCGAGATATCAGGGTGATATCTGAAGCCGTGTCGATTTGTAACTTGACTTGGAAGCCGTTGATTTTCACAATTGTGTATTTGCGCTTGCTGACCCCGTCAACCTTGAAAGTTGCGGTGATAGATCTGGTCAAATTGGGAAGCCGGAACGGTCTGGCATTGTTAAGCATCCTCGTGGTCAAAATTGGACAAGTCGCCAGGCAACATGACTCCTTATGCCCTTCTCCTTATGCCTCTTTGTGGCAAACACGTGAGCGTTAACAATCAGCTTTCTCGCCCAGCTGTCACAGGGGGGTCTCATAATGGTTTACCAAATTCTGAAGGACCCAAACCACATTTGCCGCCCGTTCCTGGAACTGAACCACAACACTAACTTAAGTGGTGATCCTTTGAAACTGGCAATACAATATAGCCGGCTTGAATGTCGTATAAATTTCGTTTCCCTCCGCGTGTGTCAAGCTTGGAACGCTCTCCCAAATTGTGTCGTCGCTGCCCCAATCTGGCGATATTTAAAAAACGACTTCACAATGCATTTCATTTTATAACTTGTTAGCCAAGGGGCTACAAAAAGCGATCAAACGGTGTCTTACCAAACTCCCAACCAATGGATCTACACTTTTAATACGCTTACATCTCCGCTACTTTACATACTTATATGATGAGTCCACCAAAACGCTTTTCACATTATCATGAATTTTCGTTCTTACAATAAGTTACACCCCACGGGACTTTTAAGCATCTCTTTTTTACCCGTAACACACCATCGTTCCATTGTCAAGCAATCGCCCTTTTGTCCGTCATAAATCGTTGAAAGTTCCTCTACTACAGGTGCGGTCCCAGCAATAGGAATGAATCAGGTGTATTCCAAAAAAGTTGGCACACATTAAGGCTGCGTTTCACAGCGCAAGCAAATAACAGGGAATTGGTATGTTATGCGCCCAACAATGGATAACACAATCTATGAAGTCACTTGACTTCGATGTCGCTTGAAGGAATTTTTAAGACCTTGATGTACTAGGAGACGAGAAGCTTGGAAACCACTGTAAATTGATTTAGAATAACCTCACATTATTCGTGTGGATCCAGCTAAAAGAAAATTAGGAAACATAGAAATTGGGTACTGCCCGCCCAAAAAACTGCACTCCCCTGAGCGTTTCGATGTTATTGCATCTCATCAGCTAATGATAGCAGGCCTCGAATCCAGGACTACTGGGACGTTGGTTGTGACCGCTGCCCCTAAACCACCGGGTCGCGACGCGCAACGCTTGGCACAACGGTTAATAATGGATTTTGTAGGTCAATTTTGAATTAGACATTGTGTGGACGGATTTGGGCACGGAATCTCCATGTTAACCGCGATTCCCATTGAAGTGAACCTTGGTCTTTCGATCACTAGGACCGTAGCTGAAGCAGATAGAAATTGGGTAGCTTAGGGGTGGCGATTACAACTAACATCCTAATGGTCCCGGGTTCGATTCCTGCTATCTCTATCTGATGCGATGAAATAACATCGAAACGCGTCATAGGAGTGCATTAGGAACCAGTTCTTGAAGACAAACGAAATGAGCTTTCGTGTTGAGCAAATTGCGCCTGCTGTATTATGAACCGACAGCTTGCAATCTAACGGCTGCCTTAAGACTACGGTACCCGATTCTGTCGAATCATGAAAAAAAATTAATTACTAGAACGTGAATACGAGGACATCGGTTTCTGCAAGATCAGCACTGTTTCGATCATGCATTACTTTTCCGCAAAATATCGGTACCTCTTTCACTCGGTTCTGTTGTACGGAATTCCAAAGTCATATGTTTCAGAAAAAGCATCTTTCGATGTGCTGATTATGTGCACGGAATATACTGTTACAATCTCCCAGATGAATGGGCATGTAGGCGGAATTAATCGATATGAAACAACAGCGATCTACATGTCACATAGCTAGTTTGATTAAACCTTCATATTGCAGTGACTGTCTTATTTCAGTTGAGAGTGATTATCCGTTTTTTCCGAGCTCATGATTTTCTAGTGATTTCAATGTTAGAGCTTAATGCTTCAACACTACCTGTGACAGACCTCACCTATTAATAAAGCTGCTAACTAACTAAGGAGAACAGAGTAAGTTAGTGGGGTGGAAAGAGGCAAAAGTCAAGGCTTTCTGTCACGGTCATCTGAGATTAAGTAGAGCTTGATAAAGCGGCTGCATACTTTTCAATCCATGCCCGTTTCGATGAGCGCCAGTTAATCAATAAAGCATAGTAGAAAGTGGCACGATCACATCAATGTTAGGACGTGCTCATTAAATTGAAATTACTACACGGAGTCTACATATGCTCTGCCTATGTAATCGGTAAATTTATACTTTCCAAAAGGATAGTGTTGTACCAAGAAGCTAACTTTAAGCTCTTACTCTGATAGCTGAAAGGGTTCTATGCAACGCTCAGTAAATAAGATCCGTGAGAGGTGCGAAATAAAGTATTTCCAAGTTAGATTTCTGCCCAACGAATTCGTTAACTGCCAAAACGAAAATCTTGGACACTGGTTGATCCCATCAAAACCTGTGCCCTACTCCATCCATCGTCGCTTTGATCTATAAATACATGCCCTTAAAGGAAGGAAAAGAGCTTGAGTTTATACTTTGGAAGTGAACACGCATATCTGATTAGGCCTAATTTCAGACTTTATGACACATGTTTTCATTTCCAACCTGCAGCAGTGCTCAGTAGTGAAGGTAGGGAAAACGGGACCGTCGGTGTGGTGGCACACAAAACGTATTGCGACCGTTGGGAGTATAGAGTATATACCATGTGAACAGGAGGGCTGAGATAATCACAATCTGGGCCGTGATTCACTTTGCAGTAAGACCTGTCACTGCGTTTACTGGGAACGCATACGAGGAATCGTACAAACTGTGAGCCTGGGATCTGAAGTCAGCTCACGCAATGAGTTAGTGGGCGAAAGATAGACACTCACGCAGGGAACAACGGACATTCAGTTAGCGGTGAATAGCCATCCGATCTGTGCGATGATTCGGATATAACAAATTGTCAAGCTGAGCGAAGTGTTCAACTACCGCAAAGCTTCGCACAAGGATTGTGGCGATATAAAATTAAATGCAAAAACCTAGTGATTTCATCGACCTTTCCATCAGAGATCATGACTAGATGAATTACTCTTACCCCTCCACAACTTCTGGGGTGTTGTTCTCCTCGTCCTCGTCCTCATCCTCATCGGAGCTACCGGAATCAGAGTCACCTCTAAGCCCCGTAGTGTCTTCGGTATATTTGACTCCAGAAACTCTGTCAGACGACATCCCGGAAGCTAATTTGGAAGCAATCTGTGAAACACAGGTAAGTATGCACTCTAATGTCACAGTAAAGTTAAAAATATCAAAGCATTCTTAGAACAGAATAAAGATACGTTCGCGGCGAAAGTCCGACGAAAAACTCACTGACGACAATTTTGAAAGGTGAAGCAGGGACTTCTGATAAGTTTTGTGTATCGAACATATGTGAACTCTTGTGAAGCGCTTATGGTCTTGTTGCCGCAAATGCGGTATTCTGTCCTTTCATCAAGTTGTGTTTTTAAGTTTCTAAGCCAATATTAACACGGCGTTGATGTACTTAGCGCCAAATGTCATTTATGAAACAGAGCAGCGGTCTACGAATGCACCCGAACTGCTATAGTTGAGAATTCCAAGTAAATTATGCTGCTTGACCGAAGTGCATTGTTAGTGAGAGATCATAAAACGAGTGATGAGAACTGCTTGATAGATATTGTAGCGAGAACGACAAGACAGGGGGGTAGACGTTTATTGCACACCGAAAATGGGCACATCCGGGTCTCACGCGCGCCATCGAATATCGACTAGATTTCCGTCCCACCACGCAACACAGGTACGGATGTTAGAGGCAAGCCAGTCCTTTCGCCTCGGGGCTCTGACTTGGAAGTCCCGCCCTCCTGTTTTCGCCTCGATCTCCGCTCCTCTGCACCCGATTTGGATCGGCCAGGAGTCGTTCGAGAGCTCTCGACTTGCTTGTTCTGGGCTGTGTCAATCGGCTCGGCCTCGGTCCTGTGGGCTGCGCTAGCGGCGTATTTGTCTGATTTATTGTGCTGTCCACATATTCCCGCTCCGTAGTTCCGGGCCCAGGCTCGTCGCTAGCCGTCTTTCGCGATCCGCTCTCAGCTAGCTCCGAAGAGCTCCCCCGAGGCATTCTTGGAAGCGGCCCCTCTACACCCGCCCCTCCTCGAGGACCTTTCTTCCTCTCGTACCATGGTCGCAGGAGAGCAGCATTCACCCAACGTTTCATTCCTCCGCAGTCGATTAAGAAGTTGCCCGCTTTCTGGTCGATAATGGTGTAGGGGCCTTTCCAGCGTTCTCTGAACTTACTTGCGCCCGGCGCGTCATGATCCGGCCGATCGTTGTTCCGTAACTTGACCCGTTCTCCAATCCTGAATGGACTCCACTTGTGAGCCTCATGCCTGGCGTCGTAATTTCGCTTATTCCGCGCTTGTCGAGCTTTGGTTTCGCTTCTAGCTTTCCCTCGCAGTCGCTCTTGATGCCCAGCTGGATGTTTCCGCTCACCCTGGTTCGGTAGGCAAGTATCGAGCGCAATCCGTGGTTCTCTGCCGAACAGTAATTCGAATGGCGAGACCTTGGTGGTTGATTGCATGCTGGTCCGATACGCGATCAGAACCTGAGGCAAAGCATCTTCCCATGCCAGCTTCGTGCAGTTTATCCACGTCTTCAATGTCCGGTTGAACCGCTCGGTCATGCCGTTGGTTTGTGGGTGGTACGGTGAAGTTCGCCGTCTCTGGATGCCCCACTTGTCCAACACTGCCTTAAAAGCTTTTGACTCGAAACAGGGCCCTTGGTCCGTGATGATACACTGTGGGATCCCATATCTTGCAGGCACATTGAATTCGAATACTTGCGACACTGTCTCGCCTGTTTGGTCCTTGATTGGTATGGCTTCCACCCATCGAGTGAAGTGGTCAATCATCACTAGAATGTATCTGTTTCCTGTTCGACTCACTGGTAAGGGCCCAAAGACGTCCAGTCCCCAACACTGAAGTGGCTCACCAACCTCCATCGATCGCAGCGGCGGTCTCGGGGACTCCATCTCCCGACTCGTTTGGCAGTTTGGGCACTCCCGAATGTATGCCGCGACGTCCTTCCTCATGGTTGGCCAAAACACTCGCCTCCGCAGCAATTCAAATACCCGCTCGAATCCCATATGGGCGCCATCATGAGTTATGCGCATCACACGTTCTCGCTGATTTGGTGGAACAAAAGGCACTTTCCGTCCGTCTATCGCCACCACCACGTTATCGTTTTCGACCTTCAACCTGTCCCAGATCTTGAGGAGTTCCTCCACCTCCTCCGATGTAGCCTCCGGTTGGGTGGCAGCCTGTACGTGAGAGCACAACACATTCACGAATTCATCTGTCCTTTGATCTCCCAGCAGGTTCCTCTCCCCCATCGCGATCGCACGCACCGGTATGGCATTGTCGGGCATGATGTCGTCCAAACACGGGCGTGACAACATATCTGGCAATACCTTCTGCGTCCCATCCACGTGCTCAATGATGAAGTTGAATTCCTGCGATCTGTAGGCCCATCGCGCAAGCCGTCCCCGTGGGTCTTTCGCCGTCATCAACCACGAGAGCGGTTTGTGGTCAGTGACGACCCGGAATTCATTCGCCAGTAAGTGATTTCTCCACTTCTCTAGCGCCCACACGATGGCCAAGCATTCTTTCTCCGTTGTTGAATACTTCTGTTCCGCCCCGTCAGCACTCTGCTCGCGTACTCCACCACCCCAGCCGGTTGAGACAAAACCGCACCGATTGCCACTTTGCTTGCGTCGACAGCCACAGTGAACCTCTCACCAGGATTGGGTAGCCGTAGACATGTCGGGGCTTCTGCTATGCATGCCTTTAGATGGTCAAAGGCATGATCCGCTTCAGCTGTCCACACGAACGGCACGTCCTTGCGAAGCAGCTTTAACAACGGGCTGACCTTCTCTGCGAACTGGGGCACAAACTTTGAATCATATGCCACCACTCCCAAGAACGAACGGAGCTGACGCCTGGACTTTGGTTTTGCGAAGCACTCGATTGTCTCGCGTTTCTCCGGAAGTGGATTGACTTGACCATTGCCCACGATGTGACCCAAGCATACAATTGACTTTTGGGCAATCTGCGACTTTTTACGACTGAGTTTCAGACCAGCTTCGTCTAGTCGCTGCACTACTGCTCCAAGTCTGGTCACATGTTCCTGTTCCGTCTCAGAGAAGACGATGATGTCATCACCATAAACAACCACGCCTTGCAGGTTCGCCAGGACCATCAGCAACAAACGCCTGAATGTAGCTGGGGCGTTGCACAATCCAAACGGCATTCTCAAAACCTCATACTGCTGGCCATTAACACTGAACGCCGTCTTGTGGCGATCTTCTTCTGCGATCGGCACTTGCCAACATCCCGAACGGAGATCAATCAGAGATATCTGCTTCGCACTGTGAAGGCTTGAGAAAATTTCTTCCATCTGAGGCATCGGGAATGCATCTTTCACCGTCACCCTGTTTAGTTCTCTGAAATCGATGCAAAATCGATAGGTTCCGTCGGCCTTTTTCGTCAATAGCACGGGTGATGAATACGGGCTGTGCGTTCGCCTGATGATTCCTTTCGATTCCATCTCGGTCACCTGCTTATGTTTCTCAACCAAGGTGTTCTGTGGAATTCGTCTGAAGATTGGCTTGCATTGTACTCCTGGGATCAACGATATTCGGTGTTCAACCCAATTGCAAAATCCGTAATCATCTTCCGCGTCTGTGAATAAGTGGGCATACCTGCTCAGTACGTTGCGTATTGCACGGTTCTGACAATCAGGCACGGCTTTGAGGGCACCAACCCGGTCGGTTCTCCCCTTGTTTATCTCGATCGTCTCGTTAGCCACGATCACCACATCGTTTTTCAGGTCAATTGTGACACCGAGCCGTTTCAGGATGTCGGTTCCGATGATGGTTTCGGTCGCCTCCTCCACGATGAACATGTCATGGCTGATGAGCGTTTCTCCTATCCTGATTCGTAACCGCTGCGTGCCCGTCACTTTCAAAGAATGCCCGCCGACCGTCTGCATCGTAATTGAAGATGGGTGTACTGGAACCCCATTGAACCTCTTCGTAATTGACACTGCCGCTCCTGTGTCTACTATGGCTCGGACACACACACCTTCTATAGTTACCTGGAGGAGTGGTACTCGCCACCGAATCAGCATGGATAGAGAGAAACAATGGGGCACATTGACGTTGGTGCAGAATCTCGCCACATGACCATTCTGGTTGCATCGGAAACAGCGGCGACCGTTCCGGATTACCCGTACATTGCGTTGTGAAGTGGTGCTTGAAGACTCTATCGACAACAGCTGCTCCACCATTTCGGATAGGCGATTTACTTTCTGTTCCAACTCAGCATGCTGGGTGTTTCTCACTGTCACTTGTTCCGACAAATTCTGGGCGACCGCCACCAGATCCAACGCTTTGCTGTCTCCCACCAACGACGCTAATTTCACCTGATCATGGAGTGGACCGGGCAGACTTCGGATAAACTGCTGTTTCAGTAGGCGCTCCCTTGCGTTACCCTCTAACTCGGGGAGCCCAATCGTTAGATGTCTGTCCAGCTGCTGGAAAAACACCATCAAATCCTCCTGTTCGTCCCATCTGGCTGCGTGAAATCGTTGCAGTGCTCGTTCTCTCTCCAGATCCTTCCCAAATTCTGCACACAAGGCAGCCCTCATCTCAGCGAACGAACAACCGGGTTTGGCCTTTCGAGTGAGCAGATACACCGCCTTGGCTCGTCCACTCAACCGTGTGCCCAAAGCAATTAGCAAATTTGCATCCCCCTCCACACCCGTGCAAGCCGCAATTCCGTCGAACTCATCGAGCCACGCCTCCACGTCACCGGCCGCAAATTGCTCCAACCGGGTCAACTCCATCGCGATTGGTCACGGCACCGGTGTAGCGAGAACGACAAGACAGGGGGGTAGACGTTTATTGCACACCGAAAATGGGCACATCCGGGTCTCACGCGCGCCATCGAATATCGACTAGATTTCCGTCCCACCACGCAACACGGGTACCGATGTTAGAGGCAAGCCAGTCCTTTCGCCTCGGGAGCTCTGATTTGGAAGTCCCGCCCTCCTGTTTTCGCCTCGATCTCCGCTCCTCTGCACCCGATTTGGATCGGCCAGGAGTCGTTCGAGAGCTCTCGACTTGCTTGTTCTGGGCTGTGTCAATCGGCTCGGCCTCGGTCCTGTGGGCTGCGCTAGCGGCGTAT